GATCCTCATACAAGGATGTCAAGGCTGTAGCAAAGGACTCCCTGGTGTCCAGTACAGGGATTTTGGCATACAGCTGTTAATGAGCCCAGGTCTTGGGTTGCTAGGATAACAGGGTGATGACAGTGTTTACTTTAACAAAATCTGTGGCATAGGTACGGGATTTAAGTATAAACAGGACTTCACAGTCTGTGATAAAGGAATGGAAGAAAGCACTGCGACCAGTGAATCTTTCAGGCACTGCAATATCAGGTTCAGAAGCATGGTTTGTGTTCCCCTTTAAATCAGCATAGCCACGCTGCAATTTACTTACAGTTTGAGACAGAAGGGTCACTTGCTGTGTGAGGGTACTCAGGACATTCATCATCTCCACGGGCTCCATGGTAGTGGATCTGGTCATTATGTAACAGTCACCTGGGGACTTATGAAACAGTTTACCAGGAGTTGGAGCCAAGTTGCAGGAGATGGTACAGGGAGGAGGCAAAAACCAAAAGGGCATTACAGATTAAGAGGAAAACCAAAGGCAGGGTCAGACGAGAGCAGAAGTCAGGGCTGGAAGCGGAGTAACAAAGTCGGCAAAGCAGGCTGAGGTCAGAGTCCAGAAAATCAGTCAGCAGAGTACCAAAGATCCATCAGGAAACACCAAACAAACACAATGACCAGATCTTTGTTACTCTGCTGACTGATGCCCTGGAATCTGTCCTCTGCCTGACTTCTGCTTCTCGTCTGACCCTGCTAATTAGGAGCAGCTGACCCTAATTGGAAAAGGGCTGCAGGTGGATGCAGTGCTCCATCCAGGCAAGGAGTCAGGAAGCAGAATAATAAAGACAGATAGTGAAGCCCCCTGTTGGTCAGCACGGCAGAGAACCTGACTGGGGTTCAAATCCAGCCAGGTCTCTGAAAGTGGCAGTCATGCCTTGCTGTCTGCAGGGTTCGGGGTGCACCGTGACAGTTACAGTGGTATTAGGGGACTATAAATAAGTTTTCATCCATCCTACTAAACTATAACTAATCCAATCCAAGATTCCCCACCTCATAATGGATCTGCTGCTAATGTATTGTCCTGTAAATTGTGAGGTGGGGAATCTTGGATTGGATTAGTTCTACCAATACATCCAACCAGAAACACAATCAGATTGAGATATGTTCCTCTATCCATTCCTTAACACTTTTTTTGCAGCGTGGCAGGGTGCATTATCCTGTTTAACATGAAATTCAATAACTGACTGATCACTTGTTGCCTTACATATCCCAGTCCTTGAGAAGTTCCATTGTAACAATATAATCAATGTTATTTAGTTCACCTGTTAGTGGGTTTAATGCTGTGGCTGATTGGTGTAGTGTAGTATATCAGGGGAGTGACACTGGATAAGTGAAAAAGTAGATATACATTCACATATTGTGGAGCCCCAGAATA